AGGGTTCTGTAATGGTCTTGCCTTAGCTCAGGGTTCTGTAATGGTCTTGCCTTGGCCCAGGGTCCTGTAATGGTAGATTATGGATTGGAGCAAGCTTGGATCAGGGTTCTGATTAAGTAAACCACATCCTGTTCACATTCCAAAAGCTGAGGAAAAGGGGAAGTCCGAGGTCTGGGCCTGCCTGCCTGCCTGCTGTCTTGACCCATCCCCAGGATGACCTGTACTGTTGGACACCTGAAAATTGCAGGAGAAAAGCGACAAAATCATGCCGATATTCAAACTTTTAATTATTTTTGATGCATTGAAAGCCTGAAATATAATTAGAAAAACAAGACACGGGAACAAAAAGATATGTTTCATTTTGTCGGTGAGAAAAGTAAAACCTCTGAACTTTCTCTGATTTGAGTTATGGATCAAGACACCTTCTCCGGTGTTGGAAACTTCAACCACCAGTGGATAATTATGTCATTAACTCATAAAGTTTAAAATAAAGTTTATCCTTTAAATGAAGTGTATAACCTTCTGTTGACAGGAAGTTACCCATGTCCACCGGTGAAGTTTCTTCTGCCTCGTGGAGTTCATTAACGAACTGTCGCTTTAACAACAGAACCCAAATAGAAGTGCTGAGCACAGTGGAGACATTCACCTCCCAAGGCTCAACAAGAAGTCCAACCCGTCAAAAACACAACTCATAGTGTGACATCAAATCTAAAACTACAATAAAACTCAATTCAGTTTATTTATTATTAGCCAGTAAAAAAAATCATCTCACAGCACCAGCCAATTACAAACTTTATAAAACACCAGTTAGTAAACATTATCAAAGAAGACATCAGATTGAGCTGAACCTGCACTTTGGTTCAACCTCTCAATCTGAGGAGCACAGAGGCGACAGTGGCAAAGAAAAACTCCCATTTAGCAAGAAGAAACCTCCAGCAGAACGAGAACCAGGCTCAGGACAGACAGCCATCTGCCTCAACTGGCTGGGAAAAGAGAGAAGAGAGGAAGGAGACACAGACAAACAAGAAGTGCTCCAGGTGTAGTTCTATGGTCCAGGTGTAGTTTCTATGGTCCAGGTGTAGTTTCTATGGTCCAGTTGTAGTTCTATGGTCCAGGTGTAGTTTCTATGGTCCAGGTGTGGTTTATATGGTCCAGGTGTAGTTTATATGGTCCAGGTGTGGTTCTATGGTCCATGAGTAGTT